ACGATCTCGTCCAAGTTTCGATGCATCGACGTGGTCGTGCTCGACACTGCAACAGTGAAACGTACCTCATTTCAAAATCAGCAATATTTATTACGAATAAGAAATAGGCGACAAATCTTTCACCGCACGAGATTCATTATACGCGCGCGCTGACGTTTTCGTATTTCGTAAGTCGTTTGCCGTTTCACAGAGGAAAACGCACTTTATGTAGATATGTTACAAGTTACAATTAGATTGCGTTAACGTCTAAAACCACCTAAGTATACATTAAGTATACATAATATTGAATCGTTTCCCCGAGGGTTGTTGAAAAAGAATATTGATCACGCGAGTCGGAGTCGATATTTGTACAAGGTAAACATGCCTTGCAGCAACATCCTTTTTCTATATTGCGTCATTCCGTCGTTCGAAGACTCCTGCTGCTCCAAAGTGTCCCGCCATTGCGTTCGTCCGACCCCTCGGTCGTCACCGTCGTCGCCGTGGTCGCCGTCGTCGGGCCGCTGCGACCACTGTTGCGGTGGTATCAATTCGTGGTTCTTGTACGCCGCCTCGATCAATTTTAAAATCGTAAACGGCGGGTCCTGCGTCGAGGAACTTCCGGCGGGCGACGACAACTTTGCGAAACCGTTCGGCGATACCGTTGAGGAGGAAACGTGAGGATGTCCTTGGACTAGTCGCGCCGTCTGGTACACCTGCCGAACGAAAAAGGAGTAAACACAAAGTCGGGGACTTTTCCTTCTCTAAAAATAAGCCATTTTCCGCGAAGTCCGCGCGCGCTAGCGCGTGCGCGCGGCGTGCACGCTTGGGAAAGACCCGTCTTCCCCGCTCCCCGGCGCGCGCGGCGCGGCGATGTGAATCGCGTTGCGCGCGAGCGTGTTCGCGAGGGCGATAAGAGATAGATAAATCATTTTATTTGTATTCTATACCAAGGCTGAGAGGCGGCATGCGATCCTGTTACATGCGCGAACGAGATAATGTAATGCGAGGGAATCTCCGCGCGGGCCGTGGACTATAAAAATTCCGTCGAAAACATTTGGACAATCGATCACTGGCGGATATCTGTTTACGAAAGGGGAATTCCGTGAAAATCGCGAAATGCACGCCGTCGGTTCTAAATGTGGAAAACTATATCGTAACGCAGTTTCGCGATGTATTTGCATCTTGATTCGCGATTGGATTCCTCCCAGCGAAGCGGGTCACCGCGATATCCAGGTGGCTAGGTGGCTGCAGCCACCTGTCATCACTTTATTATCGCACTGCCGTGCATTCGATACATATGTGTGTCACAACTCGCAGTCGCATCAACACAACTCACAACTCACGACGCTTCCGAAACGTGTTATTTAAATGTGCACATTGTTGGGAAGCCTTGTCAGATTAGTAAAGTGGAAAAAAACGTAAAACACTTTATGTTCTAGGAAGAAAGGAGCTCGCGTGAGATAAAAATGAAATGTGGATGACTCAATGACTGATAATCCGTGAGAAGAGACACGAGAGAAGAATTTAGAAACAAATATTTGTATAGAATAGAGGAAGAAGGGAAGGAATTTTCTGAAGGCAGGCGACAAGACGACAACGCACGCGTCGGCTTCGAAATGTCCGATTGTCCGATTGTCATTATATATTATAATTATTCTTAAAAACTGGTCGGTTATTCCGCTGCGTCCGCGATAGGATTGAGACAGAGATAATGTAACCACATGGGTGATATATATTAAACTCCGCAATAAAGTTGTCCACTCGCTTTTAGTGCGCATATATGTATATCGTACTGTTATCCGCGGATACGCGGAACACGGTTCTGCGTCTTTCAACCGACATGGCATGCGACTTGCTCGGCTTCCACGCGCCGCACGCGTATAAGTCCCATGCATCGAGTAAACCTGGAGTAAAACTGGAGTAAACATCCAGTGAGTATAACGATGTAAGAATTCTCGGAGAAAGGCAAATAGAAATGTATGCGAATAAATAGTTCGTCCAAGTACAAGTAGAGTAGATGAATGGTCGGCGGGCTAATTTCCTATAAAGGGCTAAATCCAGGATTAATTTTGAATGCAATCGCAAGGTTGCAGTCGTATTTGCATGGTGACCCTGATGACAGTCCCTCACCAGAACGAGCGCCAGGTATACGATCCACTTGGAGAGAAGAGCGCTCGATGTCATCTCAAAAGCGCGCCGCAGACTTGGACAACGGATGAAGATTCTCGCGAGCCACGCCACTCGACGATTGACGACGATCCGCAGTGCGAAGTGCGAGTAAATGCGACCGCTCGCAGCTCGTAGCCCGCACTCAACTGACTGACTGACCGACAGTGACCGACTGACTCTTCGTGACTCTTCGGTGACTGATCGGTCAGTTGTGGCAGTATACTGCTACAACTCGACTAACTCTCTCAAGATCCTCGAAGAACGCAGAACACCTCCGCCGCGAATATAGGCGACAGGCGAGAAAGAGAGACGGAGATAAAGCTGACTCGCTTGCTCGCTTCCGGCAACCGGCGCGCTGGCTCCGGGCCCCGGGGAAGGGAGACCGGAGACCGGAGAGGAACGATGAAGGAGCAACGGGGAAGGAGTAATAGAACTGACCGCGCGCGCGGCGCGATCCGCGCGATTGACCACTGACGACTGACCGCGCGAACCGTGACGCGGAAAAGCGAGACGCACATATCGGGACCAAACATTTTTTCCGTCTCCATCGCATCCGCGACGACGCGACGGTAGGGGAGCCGGGGGACCCTTGTCCTTGTCCGCCTTGGGCGTACCCAAGTGCGGGGCAAGATGCAACAGTTTTTCCTTTTTTATTTTTTTTTTTTCATATTTGTATCTTAATTTAATCGAAGCAAATTCTATTTTATTGAAGTGAAAAGTAAAAGCAACATTACTTGGACCTTCGACCTTAACGATCGCGCGCGGCGCGGCGCGGGTCTTTTCTCGCGGCGACTCTGGACTCTGGGCGACTCGGCGACTGGCGGAGTGGCGGCAAACGGCAGACGGCTGAGCGAGACGGCGTCATGTCCGACGCGAGAGACGCGTTGTCAGCGTTGTGTGGATACCTTAATTCGTTGATAAACGTAGGTTTAACGCCCGAGCACCTGAGGCTGGCCAAACGTAACGTTCCGGACGAGAGTGTCGTGAGTATCGACTACGGACTACGGAGCGGTGTCGGAGATTCGAATGCGCTCCCACTAACCTAACCTAACCTAATCTGACGAATTTGACAAGCGAGATCGTGTTTTGTGCGTAGGCCGAGACTCTGTGGAATACCCTGCGCGTGCTGAGCTATCACGCCGCGGGAGAGAAGCGAGGCGACGTAGATTTCCGAGATTACGGTTCGTTTCAACCGATTTGCATCCTGCGTGCACTGTAGATCGTCCTCGAGATCCGCGGTTCGGATTGCTCGCTTTTTACGAGAAACATGCACGTTATTTAGTTTTACGATTAAGTACACTGTATAGTGTATATATATGTATGTATGTTTACGTAATTGCTATAATTAAGGAGTAAACGTGCTCTTATTGTCGGCGTTTAAGAAAGAAAAGAGATATGCGATCTCTTAATTTAGCGTAGCACACATAGGGTATAGTGCTTTTTCAGAAAAGAAGTTGTTACCTATACACGCGCTTGTCGCAAAGTCGAAAAACATCGCGCAAAGTTAATAAAAATATTAAATACATATTTCAATGAAAGAAAAATATTTTCAATTACTTATACAATCTTTTATATTGGTGCTTTGTAGAAAAAAAATAGATTTAAACTTGTATGAAACGGTTTGTAAAATACTTTTTAATTCCAGACGCGTCGACGGCGGTCAAGTTGCACCTCGCCTTCTTGCAGTACCCGGTGATCGAGTTTTACGGCTTGTCGCAAGACGGCGAACGCAACAGGGACGCGTTGATAACTTTAGCTTGGTTACTGGGAACGCAGGACGTTCTGACTGCCATTCTTCGAGCGAAACTAGCCGATGGGGTCTTGGGTGCTGAATGCTCCCGTGAAGATCCCCCAAAAGTTAGTATCGAAATTTTTAGCATAAATACGATTATGAGTATAAATCTATTTTTTAAGCTGGATAGATGGAAATGGAAATGGAAAATAGCGGATCAAAGGTAGAATAAAATTTCGGGATTTTTTGCGGTACAGCTGAAGAAAATCAGTTCGTATAACTTGTTATTTTTCCGCGCGTTTTTTCTTTATTTATTCGTGTATTGAAGGAAAAACGCAAGCTTCAGTCGTCCTTCGTAAATGGTCGTTCGTGCTCGTTCGTTCACTTTGCTAGCTTGATCTGAATCTACCATTAACTCATCGTGCATGCATTCGAGCGTTCTTATTTTACTTCCCTCAAATAAAATCATATTTGTCTGATCATCAACATATTTTTTACATTCTACTTTTGTTTTCGATCGTTCATCGTTCTACTCAGTCTCCGTCGTTACGTACCGTAACGATCGATCGGCCGTTATCAACGAGCGCCGAATTCGGCAGTATCCTGCACCTAAACGCCACGGTAAATCTAAACTTGCGAGAGATCAGTGACGTGGCCTGCGAGCGGGCTAAGTTGATATCCAAAGTGCACGCGGCGAGCCTCGACGTGAGTGGTCTGCCACATTTGAGCGTATCCGAATTAGCGTTAACGAAACGCCTCGCGAGGACGCGCGTCCTCAATGATGGAGGAGGCGCGAGCTTCGAGAAGGATCGGCGATTGTTACGAGAATTCCGCGAGGTCGGGATCCTGCTCGACATGCGCGCCAAGTGGTTGCAAAAGCGGCATATATTCTTCGAATGGATGGTAAATCTTGAAAGATGTCAGACGTAAAGTGAACAGTCACGCGGGTACCTCGCGTCGAGTTTTCCCGAAAGCTCTTTTTTTCTCTCTCTCTTTCTATATATATATATGTATATAGTGTCTGCGATTGCGATATCTGAGATAAGTTTATAACGGAATCGGGAATATATATAGTTCTGAATATAGAACCCCCCGCTTCGTAATTAAAGATAAATAAATCTTCCAAATCCAAATGAAATGGATAGAAAACATAGATTCTTCGTTTTCGCGATACAAACTTATTTTCGACATCACAATAGATTATATAATATACATCTATTTTATATATATATACAATATTATAATTTATTTATCTTAATTACGAAGCGGGGGGTTCTATATTCAAACTATATATATTCCCGATTCCGTTATAAACTTATCTCAGATATCGCAATCGCAGACACTCGAAAAGCATTCATTAAACAATAAAGATTTCCTGGAAGAACTTCATAGAGAGTAAGAGAGAAAGAAAGAGAGAATTTTGACAAAAGAGATTTGTCTCAAGTTAAATTGAGAGACAGAAAATAAGTTCTTCGCATTAATCGTGATGTAAATTGTTTTATTCTTCCTCTAATAAAATATAAGAAAGTGAGGAAAAATTGCATTATTCATCACTTATTTGGTAAAGAAAGAAACAATGCAAAAATATTTATTTCCATTTATTTTACTTCCACATTTGCACACTTGCTTTAAATCGATTTGCAGAAAAATTTGCTATTGTAGAAAATATCAATTATCTCCTGAACACAAAAAAATATTTGTAATAATCTTTTCCAATTTTCTTTATGATAAAAAAAAAAACAGAAAAAAATTGTCTGGATCAATTTAACTCGACGCGAGTATCTGAGGAATAGACTTATTTTTATACATATAGTGAACCACAAAGCTTCTGGCAACGTTATATTAATTGCGACATGACTGCAACGATGTGCATTGCAGGCTACAGTGATTCAGGAGCACAAAAGATCTATGGAATCGAATCCAAGAGTAATCTGTATGCGGGAACTCGTCGCGTTCAGCTCGTTGTTACGTCACGTAATTAGAGACAAACTGGGAATTTTTACATCCGAGAAGACAGTGGACGATGGTGATTCCAGAAACTCGGCCTTCAATTGCCCGTCTCGCGCGCACAGAAGTCAATGTAATAACGCGGAGGCCCAGAGCTGGTTGGACGATTTGAATGAGCGCCAGGATCGCGAAAAGGAAAATTTCCAACGAAACAAAAAGCACGTGGCCGACGAGTTGAAGGGAATGTTGAAGTTGATACCATCTGTCGTTCGCGTTTAACAATATGTTATTATATATTCTCATTTTATATTATTATTTTACAAATGCATAATATCACGTAAAAAAGAATTATTTATTATTGCAGTAAACATTTCATTACTTATTATTATTTTGAAATAAAAAAATTATTACTATAATGTAACACATAAATAAATTATTACTATAAATTATTTATGTGTCTGACGAGTTTTACATAAATAAATGAATATAATTTACAATGATGTAAGCGTATAGGGTGTAGAATGAGCCACTTAAGAATCGAAAATATCTTCGTCGTTTTTCATGCTAGCGATGAGAAAATATTTAAAGAAGCACGTGTGTAAGATTGACGTGACTTCTCACTTCTTACATAAAGCAATATGATTGCAATGAGAAATCCTGAAAGTAAAAATAACATTTTAAAATCTTTTTCGGTATCGAATGCGGTATCTGATGATCAATATGCATTAAGATAATAGAATACCGAACAGAAACACGTTATAAAGGTTCTATATGCAATTAAATTAAACTTGTGTGTTGGTATTACTTAAAAAACAACGGAGATATTTTTATCTGGTCGTTCACTTTGCGTATCGTTAAGAGAGAGAGAGGGGGGGGGGAGAGAGCGCATCAAAAGCAAAAAGAAAAATAAGAAATTGTTATGTTGTGACGGTAACTGTTTGATCGACAACACCGAACGACGAGATGAAGACGTTGAGTATCGTGACGAGGAAGATGCCGATGACCGTCCAGTTGTTGGCCTTGTTTGCCTTGCACATTTGTTCGTGCTCCTTGACGTTGTAGACGCTGTTCCATATAAGACCAATGCCTACGGCGATTTGCAGGAACAGACTCATGCTAATCATGACGAGCGACGGATAGAAGTACGGATGCCGGCCGTCCGTCTGGAGAACGTAGCGCATCTGATTCGCGTTTGCGGACAACAACGCCAGATCCATCATACCTTGGGCCAGAGTCTTTTTGTGCTGGTAGACGTTCACGTCAGGAGTAATGACCTGCACGGCTGTCGCAGGCGATGGAAAGATTGTGCTGGCCCAGCCGGATTGTGGTTCCGAGAGAAATTCCGGTCCGTTTCTGTTGTCGAAGCCGATCGGCGGCATCGGCTTTTTACCCAGCTTCTCATCATGTTCGTCGATCTCCGTTTCGACGAACGACGGCCTCCGGGATCGCGAATTGTCCGCGAGATCTCCATCGGTCTTCGAAACAAAGTCGGCGCGCAGACCAATGGACGGAATTGCTACCTCCGAGTTAGTAGATGTCAGGGGTCTCAACGTCTCGTCGTGGACTTCGTCCAGATACAGTATCTCATCGCCGTCCGGCTTCTTGCTTCCGTTCATGTTGGTGAACCGCAGGAGACCCCGGTTGATAAGATTACCTATGGAATAGCGTGCACATTTTCATATTTCGTTCATTCGCTTTATTATTGCTCGAAAGAGCAATAATACCGTTCTATATGTATCTGAGAATATGTTTGTTATCGCGATCGAAGGTCCGCAAATGGACCTCAAATCGATTGAACGTTTCACGCGTTGTATCGCACTACCACATTTATCTCTGACATCTGTTACCATTAATCGCGACTGATTGTCATATAAAATTCGCATGTTTTTTAAATCCAACAAGTCACTTTGTAATTTTCTTCTTTTTCATCTTTTAGCTTGCATTCTTTGTAATTACATCCTTTGTAATTATACTTTACCGCTTCTATTCTTTTTTCCGTTACCATTGATCGCTCAACAAGTGTTTTAAAGTACGTAATCGAACATGGTCACTCGCTCACCCTTTAGCAGTCAAATTTTACACAAAGTTTGTTATTCTTTTATTTTCAGTATTATATTACTCACTCACCGTAATTAAAAAGACCTAGGAGCAGGTGTCCTCTCCGTCTTCACGGAACGAACAAAGGATTCGCGATGCGGACTGTCCGGCACGAGTAGCTCGACGTTCTCCGACGATTTACTTAGTGGTCTCGCTGCCGCGGGCCGCAACTGATTCATCCTTCCTCACGTCACGATCGCCGCTACGACGTTTATCATGGCCGCGTGGTTTCCCCAATGGGCCCCAGCCGTTTCGTGTCACGTTGGGAAAACGTACGATCGTTGCCGTAATTAAAGCTACGCACGCTCAGTCCGTCCGGCGAGCTATTAACACTCGCGGCAAATTCTTCTTATCTCCTTTTGGAATCTTTTTGTAAGTTCCAGTCTCTTTGATTTACTAACTTAGGATTAACTAATGGGATGATTGGACGAGTTGTTTTTCATATTAACGAATGCAATCTTGATCCTGAAAGAAAGGAACAAGTGTATTAATATTTCTAATTGTTAACTCTTGCTATATTTTTGTTATTATCAAAGTGTTGAATGCTGTAATTTCAATTATAATTCATTATAATAATAAATAATACATTATGTATACATACATACATACGTTAAAATCGTTCTTTCTTGAAAGAGGGTATAAGGAAAGAACGATTAACGTAACCGAGTTATTTTCAAATTTTCAGCAAAATACTTACTTGACATTTAATCGTAGCACCTCGCTGTTTATCCTACTTCGTGGCATCACTAATATTTTATCAGTAATATAGAGTTATAGAGAAACGGAAGAGAATCGGACGAGCATTAGTTTACGACTGTCGCGTGTACTTATGTATTAGCTATGTGCTGGCGATTTCGAGTCGCGCTTCAAGGTTTTCTTCCGAAGTGGAAGGGAGAATGGCAATGATCCAGGCATTCACAGATTCGCCGCTATAAATACAAACACGTCGTCCGCGTCTGTCCTTCATTCCCTCTCCCGTTTTAATCGTGCCTATATAATTAAGCAAGAAGCGCTTTTTTGCAAAATATGCGTTGCGTGATAATGATATTCATAATATTCATGAGATGTTTTGCATTTCCACATCCTCGGTCTGCAAGTACACAGGGTGATCAACATTTCGCATCGATCTAGATTCTAGAAATACGTAATTTCGAGAAGGCGTCATCGGTGTTTCCCCAGAGCCTCTCGATTTTCCGCGTTACGTTTACGTGACGTGAATTCATGCGCGAGCGTAGGATGCGTGATGAATAGACAAGAGTTAATAGATTTCGAACACGCGTGTGGGTCCCAGGAAATGAAGCTGAAATCTCCAAAATCATTCCTTCAATTACTCTCGCAATCCCATTTGTTCCTCGCGCGTCGGAACAAATGGATTTAAAGCATTCTCTCAATCATGCCTCTTGTCCCTAAATCCCGTTATGGGATACTAATAGGATGATATAATTATTATTGACAACAATGATAAGGATAATAATAAGTACAAATATGCAAGTATTCGGTAGTAACTATAGCGAACTTGCTATCGAATTATCATGTCGTCAGGGAAACCGGCGTCGAGAGAGTGGGAGTAAAGCATCCCGTGATCGAGGCATTCCTATGGTGGTGCTCAGGTATTCTCCGGATAGTGTCCAAAAATGGAGAACAACGGTAAGTGGCAACGGCGATTCCTGTCGAGCCTCCCTCCGAGCTACTCCCGCTGGAAGATGTGTCTCGGGGACGCGCCTCTGTCCCTCCCAACTGCTCATTAATAATCAATCGCGTGTCCGTTATGTAAAAGATAAAGTAGTGGACCGGCGAGTGAATATGGAATCGCACGAGTGTTGCGCTCGCTGTCGCGCTAAATCGATCGTCCGTAAGAGCGACGACCCCCGCAAACGTTGTCGATCCGAGCACGCCTCGGAAAAGCGGACGACCTTCTCTCCGAGAAGACATACACCTGAATGTCTCAAGTTCCATATGACCTCCGAGGAAGACGAACCGAAGAATGGTGACGTATAAGACTTTTTTTTCTTTTCTTCTTTTTCTCCTGAGATCTCATCTCCTGAAAAGACAGTCCGAAGTAGAAAGACCAAAACGCTCGGGATTGTTTGAATGGCAATGAGTTATTACTATTAGAGTTATTACAATTAAATGGAATTAATTAATAAAGAATTAAATAGTTATATATCAGACAAGTATTCCTATTTGTGATTCTTTTAATGTAATTCTAATATTAATATAAAAGAACCTTCTTTCGCTCCAGAGATCACTTCCTGCGTTGACAAATTCGCCCTGGCGAAGAGATTGCACGCGGAGAACCTGCAGCACCAACCGCTTCCAGATCGAGTGGACGATTCCGTCTTCAGGAAAGGATGTCGCGTTTGTTCACCCAGTTGCGAACGGGACGCAAAGTGGAATCCGGATCGTGCGAATCCTACGACGAGGATGGAGAACCGCTTGTTCGGACCCGCGCTCGGCTGCAAGAAACCGGAAACCCGAATGGACCTGGCAATCTGCTGGGAGACGCCGAGAGACCCGGTGTACGAGCCGCGAAGACCGACGCATATCGACGGTTCCGAGGGCGGCACGGCCCCGGCGATTTTTGCCATGATCCAGCACACGTCGGTGCCGAAAAATCGCGAGCTTCTGTCTTGTAGCGGGGAGAAGGACAAGTGCAGTTGTGCGAGGCGGGACCAGGCGGAGACAGACTCGAGGAGGAATCAATGCTGCTGCGATCGTTCCTGCAACGGTGAGGAATAATATATGTAACACGGAAAAGAAAGAACTCTTAAACGGCGTAATCGAGCATTTTCGGACAGTTTTGGAGGAAGAGAATGTTCAATCGCGGTTAGTCGATTCAAGTAATACTTTATTTGCTCTTTAGAAAATTATCCTTTACGTATATGCACTTTCTGTTGATTTACCTATAATTTATATTGTAATTTAATTACAATTAACTTCCTATAAAACTAAATTATTAATTATTAATCGTATTCATTATAAATTGAACTACTATATTATATTACGTAATCATTGATTATCTAAATTAAAGAAATGTATTTCTCTTTTTAACATTGTTGCTAATGTTGAATTTATGTATTAATTTATTATAATTCATAATATATTATTTATATATATTTTGTTACTGTGATGCTTGTAGGAAAGCATTTTACACATGTTTCAAGCGAGAAATTAAATAACAATAATAAATTCGATCGTAGAACTCCGTGGTGAACGGCGATGTGAGAAGCCATCGAGGTCGAATTCTGTGCCGCGCATCACCGAACGCAAATGCGCGGCCTGTCGTGACGGCGCGGGCGAAACGGAAACGGAATTCGAGCGGCGAAGAAGAGATCCGAGACTGATCCGGTCTGCGGTGGGTGCCGCCCTCGGTCTCGAGGAAAAACGCTGGTCGACAACGGGCGATGATGTGGCGGCGCGCAGGAATGGATTACCACCGATGAGAATGACGGTGCCGCGGCCGAGAACCCCATTCGCGAGACGCGCCTTCTGCATTGACACTTTGGCACCGCCATTCAGCGTGGTGAGCGGCTGTCGGGATGCCGATTACCCCGAGCACTGGCGGCTCATGTCTGTGTATCAGCAGTCGTACAGGAACCCACAAAAACGAAAGATTCGCCGCTTCTGATCAGGTCGGAGATAATCCATATAAAAGGGGTAACATAAAACTTGTTTTTATGGTCGAAAAATTAAATGCAGTCCTCGCGCCGTAAACCTTCGAGGTCTGCTATCCGTTAACGGTTAAAAAACTAATGAGATTACTCATTTCAGTGCCGAGCGATTATTGTTAATTGTTGATTTGTTACAACAGCGAAAAGAGTTTGATAATATTTTGTTCAAGTTTTAATCGTTAAATAAATAATTAACTCTCAGTAGGCTGTTTCCCGTAGCAATAATAAAAATGCTGCCGTTGTACGCAATTAGTAGTAAAATAGATGAAATTATTGAAAAGTTATAAAAATGAACGCAATTAATATAATAATAAAGACAAGTTAAAGACAAATAAAGAGAATAACGCTTTCACGACGTTCGCGTCGACAGCTTAGTCCCTCCTTTTGACTTTTATGCTGCTGATATTGACGTTCCCGGACATGATTGTTGGCGAGTCCAGTTCGTGGGCCTTCTCGAGCAGCGGCGTCTGCTCCGGACGCGCCAATGCGACCTTTTGCAAATGTGCAAGGAGATCGGGATACGGCGTCAGAGCGTATTGAAAGTCGCCGCGCGATAATACGTAAACCTCGCAATTCTCCGCGGCAACGACGCTCGCGATCCAGCGCTCATCCTCCATCAACAGGGCCAGCTCACCGAAATATGCCCCGTCCTCCAAGTGGCAAATCTGCGGAAACGTCAAAGTTGATCAGTTGATCAGTTGAACAGTTTGAAATCCAATTCGAGACAGATAAATCTTTCACCTCTTTCCCCACATTGTTGTAGACAGCCACGGTGCCGGAGGCGACGAAGTACAAAGCATCGCCGCGTGTACTGGCTTTGACCAGCGCGTCGTTTGGCATAAAAATCTCAGAGCGCACGGCGCCGATCAATTGTGTCACCACTGTTTGCGGCAGGTATCCAAACAGCTCCACGGTATTCATCAATCGGCGATACTTGTGTAAAAGAAGCTTCTGGAACGATAAAGGATTCAATTCTATAAGAACATATATATCATTTCAGAAAAATCGTATATGTATCATTTATCTTTTTTATGAAGTAATAAAGAAAATTCATGAGCGACGTTCAAAACGCGACAGCGGACTAAATGATTTCCGATCATGGTTTTGCAATAATTTTACAATCATTGGCAGAAGCATTGGTATGTAATCGCATAAGAGGTCCCACTTTTGTATTCTTCAGGAATAAATTTCTCGGGAAATTTTTCAAGGTACCACGTACTTCTCGCAAGTAGGGCGATACGTGGTTGATAATAATCTTATCCCTCTCGAATCCTTTTTTGTTGCGGTAATTGTAGTAGGCCAGCAATCGTTGCTGCAATGAATATGGCAATTCCTTGTACCTCATATACTGTTGTAGCTGCTGGATTAATTTCAAATGTCTCTTGCGGGTGGAATGAAACGTCATCATTAACTGCGAGAGTCGCGCTGCATAACCGTTTTGAGAAGAAAAACTTATCGATTAGTGAAACCACAGTACTTAATCTTAGGCTAAAACACGTTCGTAACGAGAAAGATTGCGAAAATTAAAGTAAAAGAGACATGATTTCGGATACATCGTACAAGGGTAGGATAAAGTCACGCTGAAGATTATGTATGAAAGAGACAGGAAATTTTTATCAAGATTGTAATATAAAAATAAAAATCAATATTTCAAATCATGTTTTGATATCCAAATATGTCTATAGTATTTTGTGTTAAATTAATTAGTATTTAAATTGATATAATTTTTCACTTAAATTAATATTTAATTTTGAAAAACTTTTTAAATTGGTCCAATTAAGCGTGATAAACGTACCCAGCAGATAAATAAATCCAAGCATTCCGAGGACAGAAAGAATTAGATTATATATAATATCCTCTGGGGCGCTGACGTGCAAATAATGCGTGGATCCGATCAGGGCGATAACAGCTCTGTTAACACATGTTAGATAGATCGCAAATTTTGTTCTCCTTTTCATCATGTAAGACGATCGAATAATCCATGATCTACAAATTTTTTGTTCTTTTATTATACTTTTAGTCGCGCATTTTATTTGATTATTGCGGGAGGAAAACATCCCTTTGATACACATTAGATGTGTTATATAAACAACAGGAACGATTTAAAAAAATAGAAACTAACACAGATGAATAGTAAAATAAAAGGAGAAAACGAAACAAGGCAAAAAAAATATGTACAAGCTATTATTTTGCTAACATAAGATGTAAGTGTTTAAATTTTCCATTTGGAGTACAATGCGTAAATTCTGTCGATTACTAACGCGTCATTTTGCTCGACTATCTTGGCGACCGCTAACGGCAAATAATACTCCAGGCAAGCGGCCCAGTGGACACATACGACGATGATGACGCTTATCTTCGCTACCTTGTACAGATGGAAATTAACTCGATATACCTGAAATTTTCATGTTTAACATTCAAGTGAGCAAGATTTCGAATTCCATTACGCAGTTAGCTACAATTGGATACGAATCCTGACGTAATAGAGTCTGCGTGAATAAGTGATGACGGTTCGAATCCACAGTATCTTCAACAGGTTCAACGATGCCAAGTACCACATCGACTCGAAGAGCACGATGAGAAATTCCAATGGTAGTACTGATAACATGTCCACAACGAAGAAACCCCGTAGATACTTGCTACGATGATCATCGCCTTATAAATCCTTGAAGAACTCTCATTTTTCCAAATAAACTCTCAAATCCGCGTTTTAAAAAGAACGGAGATCAAAGGAGTCACTTAAAGCTATAAGAGCTATAGAGATTTCGGAATTCATAGTAAACTTAAAAAAATATATATATGGACTTAAGTTCGCAGAATTAAATTATTGAGTCCAACACATGATTTCTATATGAGGAAAGCTTTGCAACATAATCTCCATTCTTTTATTTAAAAATGGATTCAAGACAATTTGGAAACTATAAGTTTCTCCATTGCAGACTGATCTTACTGATTAAAACCAAGTGTGTTCTATTGCATTCCTACCTCGCCACGATTCTCGGGTCCAGAACTATCAAATGTGTATTAGAATCATAATAACCGGTAAAGAACCAGATCACAATGTCACACATAAATACAGCGTCGATCGCAAGGTTAAAGATATACCATTTTTCATATTCGTCAAAATAAAATGCGAGGAAGACTGGAGTGGCCAACAGAGCCGCTACGATAAACAGCGTCATCACAGACTCCCAACATATTCTATATAAGAAATTATGGCGGTTTAATTTTGTTTCGAGATAGAAATAGATCTAGCTAATTCATTATTTAATTCAGTCCGTAATTTTTTGTGGAAAGAACTCGAAACTGACCTGAAAGAACTGAAGGGATGGATCATGTAGGGATGGGACTTGAGGTGTCGACTGATTTCGTAATCGATCGCCTGGGTACTCTTCAGGCAGTATAGCGTCAACGGATGTTTTCGCGACGCTATCCGTGTACTAAGAAACCAACGCCGTAGCCTCGACCAAGGAGAACTTTCGGGGATTATCTTCAGCAATAAATCCTCCTTCGGCGGCATCTCACAAACATGCTCCACGCGCGGTTCACGCTATACAATATTCGCTTAATTACTTTAATATTTAATGATTACAATTTTTGTAGACATCTCCAAAATATTCTTTTATTCCAGTCCATGTAAAGATATAAAACCTTTACAGTTCCTTTACAATTAACATTTTTTTTAAATTATGTAACAAATTTGTTTAAAGACACGCGATAACAATTATTAGAAAAGAATTATTTACATTATTTTATTTTGAATAACACTTCGAAATACCTATGCTTTCATAATTTTAGCTTTTTTCTAAAATAATCAGGTAGAAGAAAGTTAAGTGAGAGTTGGAATACACACGTTCCGACTCCGATTAAAAATCGCACTCTCACCTAATTTTCTATCTAGGAAAAAGAAAGATAAATTTACATAAACGCGATATATTTTTATTTTAAAATGCAATTCGAAATAAAATAAATTAATTGCAATATATTGTAATATGCAATATATATATACATATTTCGAAAACTAATTTTAATACTTGGACAAGTTTCGAATACTACATACAAGTAAATATTAATGAGTGAGTATGAAATTAGAATAAAAATCTGTCTTCTTGGCATTTCTCCTGGATGATGATCGCATACCTGGATACGTGGTGCCGTTGTAAAATCAGGTACAAGAGCCATTAAATCCATATCGTTTTCTTTAACGTGATCTTGAAAATAAATTCTCTAGTCTCTTCTCATCTATACATGTGTTTGTTATTGCTCCCTGTTAATTAAAAAGAAAAAATTAATATTTAAATGTTACATGGAAATTATACAAAAATACTTAAACCTATTAATTCAATAATAATCAAATAATAAATCAGACACAAGATAGAAACAGTATATTCGCTTTTATATCCTTTTATTCACCGATGACAGTTACATTTCACAGAATGATAGTCACCGTTAATCACGAATCGTGTTCACTGCATCCAGTAAAATTTTCTTAAAAATCTCCGAATCAAAACCGTGTATCAAATTCACATTCGGTTTGTTCGACAACAGATGATCGAGAACAACTTGGCCCCGAGTTCTATTGCCGATCAATTCGATGTCCGCGTGCCATGCGACGACATTCTTGGCCATATGAGGTATCAACACGATTCCGGCTAAGAAAGCATCGCACATAGTATAATAAGGAAAATGCTTCTTCGCTTGTGAGCGTCTGCTGTCCTCGATTGCGTTCATCATATGTACGCAGGGTTTGTCTATTTTGCCTAACACGTCCCTTCGCCATTCCTGAAAAATTTATTTCAAAAGTTACTATTGATTCGTGCTAATAATAAAGGTTGACTTAAACAATTAATTACTATAATGACAATATAATATTTATTTTATAATGATTTTTTAATAATTGACAATAATTATGAATATAATTGTAGGTACATGTGTAATTCTGGTCTCTAAGCAGGACTCCCATGGTAACAACCATAGAGGCTTGTTGTTGCTGTTGAGTACGATGTGCACGCTTTCCGGGTCCGCGTAGAAATTAAATTCCGCTTGCGCAGTTATGTTACCCTGTGCTTTGAAAATATTTTATTGTTGTTACTCTACACACTTTTGTTTACACATGGATAACATTTTCTTATTGACACTGCAGACACTTCTCTTATCTCTATTATATAATTTGCCTCTGAACTTTTTAATCTAGCAATATACCAATCGCTCAGTTATATCTATATAATATGTTTTCAGTTCGTTAAAAATATCACGAGCGCTCATTATTCCCATTTTAAATAATGCAATTATATACGGCAATGTAGTTTTCCTAATCATCCCATTCCATTGTGACACAATTATACACATACTATAACTATATGCACAGCCAAACGATGTCAACTACATTATCTCAGTTGATTAACAATGCATGCAAGTCAAATCTTATTAACTTTGTGTCGCTTAAAGGCTTTACCAATCGAATTTATGACGAGACTGCGAACTAATTCAATTAACACAAATAATTACCAGTTGAATTTCCACCCATCACAAAAAATTCCTTCACGTTGTCCGCAAACTCTGGATACAGTTTCATAGCCATCGCTATGTTCGTCAGGGGACCGATGCAGACCACGGAAATGTTACCTTAATTATAAAACAGTTGTTATTAAATTAATTAAGCTAATTGCAGCAAAAGAGAGGGTTGTACTGGGTTGTACCTGGATCCTCCGACGTGATTCTGTGTAACGCGCACGCGGCATGCTCTTGTTGAAGTTTACTCGTGTCCGGGTCGTCGGCAAACGCATCTCCGAATCCATCAGTTCCGTGATACTGCTCCAATGCCGTTTCCTTCGCATTTGGAGTATCCAGCAGAGGCGAATACGCTCCTCGATAAACGGGTATCTATATGAAACAATTTCACATGTAGTGCTTTAAGTCCTTCACCCTTGTGATTACGCGATTGATGATCAGATTAATTTACGTATATTTTTATATAATTGTACGGTCAGCTGATTCGCTGTTATAAAATTACAAATGACTCGATAATATATATTTAAAAGAATGTTGAGATGTTCTTTGAGACTGCAGTCGTTTCTCTCGACAAACTCAGCGCATAAGATAAATATTATAGTCAAATCTTATTAATCTCGCCTTCTCCGGTAAATCGGATGTCTAAACGAATGATAATTAAACTTACATCCGTGCAGTTGCATACGTTGAGCGTTCTGAACACGTTTCTCACGACATTGTCCACTTTGGTGTTACCGTTAACACAGGTGATGGCTTTAACGTGGATTCTCCCGTCTGTGTGACCAGCTAAGAGAACGATCAAGGCCAGAGCGTCGTCGATACCGGCGTCACAGTCCACGATAATATTCCTCGGAGCCTTCACCTCGCGCATATCTATCTCGGACTTTACCGCCGATAACATTTTCTTATAATTCTTATCGCGGAAAACGCACGTGCACGTGAGTCGTGTGAGGTACCGGCAACGTTATCATTTATTATTAGAGTGCAACTCGGGTGAGACGTACTCTCGTATTTATAGGATTGATAAGAAAGTACGGTTGATAACGCGTTTTGTTTGTCACTGCAAAGAGATAAAAGTTGAGACTTATCACAGACTCGTCAGCAGGGTATATACTAACAAAAATAAGTATATAAATCCTAGCGTGTTGCGCGCATTGGCATAAATTGCAAAGCAGAGAAAGCCCAGCGGGGAATCTCGGATATAATTGTTTTTATTACTTACAATTAGTTTTTACACAGTTTTACTTTACGAGAGCACCAGCACTCTTAATGCCAATTCCGGTCGCGAGCGAAATGGCGAATCTCAAATATCGCCGTTCGCTAACTTGCCCGTGTGGTTCAGGATAGTCTCGACTACTTTTAAAGAATCCTGATACACTTGAATTGAACAAACGAGAAAGAAAGATATTGATTTTATTCGCAAATGTGAAAGGTAACGTGCTATGAAATTTTGATACGAACTCAAGTTGAATCTTAATCTTAATTGCATTTTGCGTGTATGTGTTGTCGCTCATTCAAGTGTGCGATTGTCTCTATATCCGTTATCTAAACTCGAGACGTCGCGCGCGCGCAGATAAGAACTACATGTAATGTCATATAATATTATAGGTCCTCGGTGGAAATTAATTCAAAACCCAAACTCAAAGCAATCGCGATTTGTACGCATTTCAGTAATTTTGCGCTCTTCGTTCAGCGTTCTTTTCGAGTTCAAAAGACGCGAAAGTTTTATTTTCGCACGAGGTGCGAAAATTAAGTACAATAAGGGTCACGAGAATTCGTGGGACTAGAAAAAATCGCAACTCCGATACACAAAATATTGCATTCGAGGATATGAATACACAGTATGGATATCAAATAATATAAAATTAACAGTACACACACACACACACACACAATATTATTAACATATTAACATTTCATTTCATTTAATACATTAATAATACACATTAAATACAGTATTATGTAACATTATCTTGATATCGAATATCATTAATATATTATATAATGCTATATTCTGTACAATTTATAGTTATATAATTTAATATATCAATATAAATATGAGATATCATTATTATTAAATATTACGCAAAGTATTCCTAACGGCTTTTCTAACCTCGTCACTGGGGAGGGAAATCTCTTCAATCTCGGTACTTTCGTCACGTCTCGCGTCACGCTCAAAAAGGGATTTCCGGAGGGAAAGAATGAGATAATGTTCGAGTGAAATTGTCGAAAAGAATCGAACGTAGCTTGGATTATAACTTGTAACTTGAAATAGCAAACGCTGTAACGGGATCAACGGGAACGGTCATACGGGATGTTGTTTACTGTTTAGTGTTTACGCGTATTTATTATGTTTTTACAATAGCCGACCTCTACATATCTGTTCTTGAACTATCCTTAATCACCTAATTCTACATAAAACCCCCTCCTCATTCGTTCCCATACAGCACATGATATCATTCGTATATACTGCGTATATACTGTATATTGTAAGATTATTTGTGCCGTGCTTGAGTAGACCGTAAGGTGTGATT